GATGTGATCCTGATACATTGATGACTTTTGAGATTCTCAGAATCAGGAGGAATTCAAAGCCAAGTATGAGCAACCTAAAGAAAGAGTGGACACTCTCCATTTTTCAAACTACTCAAAAGGTAATTTAGATATTTAAATCTAGGAAAAGTAAAATGAAATCTTGTTCTCTACTGTTTCACTCAATTTAATTTATTTCCAGAATTACAAAATATTCAAAAGCTAACGTGATATAAAAGTATTTAGCCTCCCTGATAAACTTCCATTTAATATCTGGGTCAGATCAGGTATAACCAAAGACTTTACAGTCTGACATCTGATGTCTGTTTGGTTCCAATACTGAGACATGCTCTAAGACTTTCACAGAAACTACGACAAATTCAAATATTTTTTGGCAATATTTGTACAGAAATAAAAAACTGAGCAGTGACTGAGTGAAGACTGTCTCTGATCTTTCCAAACCTCCCAGTTGAGGACTGAGACACCAGTGGTGTGACAAAGGAAGCCTGCTCTGTAGTTTTTTGTGCTTCACATACTTGTGTAAAGAAAACTCTGGTTTCAAGGTTGTTGGGGCAGTAGCCATTTTCTCACCAATCCTCTTTAACTCCTATTGCACAGAGGTGAGGAGGATATGCCTCTGTTTCAGAATGCGTTTAAAAAACCTGCAGACTGGAAAGCATTCTGCAATGGTGGAGCATCAAAAGACTGCAGCACTATAGGACAAGATTCTCAGTCTTCCTTGGCCCTTCCCTCTTTCCTGTCCTTTCATCACTTCTGTTTCCTGACATCCACCTCTTCTTCCACCAGCCCTTGGTGGTGTTACTTTTTCCAGCACTTTCCCCCTGCTCCTTCCATTTGGGAGTTAGCTGTATTGCCAGAAAACTGCCATTTCGCTCAGTGAAGGGCCCAGGTTTTTAGAGGGAACAGAAAGCAATAGTTCTGGAGGTAATGGGGGGAAAAAACATTAAAAGAGATTTTATACGCTTTCTTAATGCGCATTTTGCACTTGGCAATATGGGCTTAAAGTTGATTTGACTCAATTTACATCAGTGCAATTGTTGCTATTCATACTCATCAAACCGAAGACAGAACATGCTTCAGGATCCATTTTTCCATATCATTACATATGTGCATGTTAAAATCGTGTGGCATGTCTTTTAAAGTGGTTTACAAAATAATGGAATTCTGTATGATGTTTTCTCTAAAAATAATATTCTGTTCCCCCAAACACTTATTCCAGCAATATCAGATCTTGTAATTTTATAATTAAAAAAGATTTCAACTCTTTAAGGCAGAAAGCTGAACAAGAGCAAACTGCACCTTTCAAGAAAAAAGTCCCTTTAGGCACTACAGGCTAGGATCCTCCTAACAAACAAGCATTGCAGTATTTGATAAAATGAAATCCAAAATAAAATGGACTGATTGACTGAAACGAAGTCTTTCCAGACAGCTTACTATAATTAGATTTACAATCATATTATGTCTAGGTTTTCTACAGAGACCTTTGTCTAAACTTCAAAGGATGTCTGCTTCCTTTTAAAGTATTTCTACTACCTACATATCAAACCTGTCACAGTGCAGAGAAATACTACATGCCCTCTTTTCCTGCTCCAGGCCATAGTAAAATTTACACTGACAAAAAAAAAAAAGCTAATGCTTCTATTAAAGTATATTACAACTGCAGTAATAGCCCACTCCAGGAATATATATGCTGGGGCTTGCTAGCATTCCAATAAAACAGAAGTTAAACATCAAGGACTTCTATGTTACAGCTACCTAAAATAACTTAGAAGGAAAAGCACTGTCTGGTGCAGTGCTATAAAATAAAATGTGTAAGAAAAAGACCTCTTTCACATTTTCAAATCTAGCCAAAGGAATATGTGCATAATTTTGGCAAGCCTCTGCCCGCATTCCTCATCCATTAGATTTGTGAGAGTTTCAACTAGACATTAGTGAGGAAACTAACTCAGTGTTAATAGTTTAAAGCTTTAGGGCAAATAGTATATTATTTGCAGTTTTAAGTAATTTCCTAACCAGAACTGGTGCCAAATGCTTTTTGGTAAATCGTGCTGTAATTCTTGTAAAATAATCCTAAAAAGGTTTCTGTTTATCAGGTTTGAAAGCTGAACAGCTATGTACTAAGGTACTAATTCAATAAAGCAATAAAAACCTAAATACTGTGATAAATACCAAAACATTGTTTGGGGCCTGGTCTTCTTTCCCATCCTTTAGCAAAAGTTCATTATAAACAAGTGAATTAAAGCTTTCGTGTGTGTAAAATCTCTTCTGAAAATACGAAAATTATCTACTATGCTGCTTGATTTAATAAAAAATATTGCATCCTCCTGTAAATCTTGTCTTATCAGAAAAAAAAATACAAATATTCAGCTCAGACTTTATTACGGGTCACAGCAAAATCCAAGAAAAATACAGGATGGAAACAGTTGTTCTTAGTAAAACCTAATTATACTGAACAGACTGTCAGAGAAGAAAAGCAGCTAGCACCTGTGGGCAAGGGTGTACTGAGAACTCCAATACCCAATTACCACATGGGGAGCAGAGGAAGAAACGGATCATTAATTTCTTCTAGAAAGGCAGGGGTCACCAAGAAAACCAAATGTGTTTGGTCCCTATAGTTCCTATGTCTGTCTTTGATGCTTAATAAGAGGTAGTAAACATTGAATACTTTTTGGTTATTTTGATATTCTCTTTTATTCATGCCAAAAAGTGAAGAATCGGATTGCAAACCTGTATGTTTTCCTTAAGACTGTCTGCTAGAACAACACAGTCATTGTACTCCAGAAATGGCTGTACATGCAAAGTATCCAGCAAGATGTCCCTTACATGACATACAAAGAAAGTGCTGAGGAGTTGTGGGTTTGGGTGTTTTTTCTTTTTTGATGTAAAAGAGATTGCCTGCATTCTTTCAGTATTTCCCACCAGCAATAACAACTGAGACACGTGGAGTTTTCTGCCAGGGAGTGAGCAGTCTCCAAGGTAACAGCGACACAAAGCTGCAGTCAAAATGTCACAAACTTAATTTGATGTAATATACCCAAAATTAATTCCTGTGAAAGGCTTCGTGGCTGATTTGGACAGGGGTGAGGGGGAGAGAAGGTGGGGGAGAAGAAGGCACCTGAAATGAAAAGGTGGTGAAATTTAATCTTATTTTGATAAAAACAACTTGAAGTACTCACTAACTAATCCCACACTCCTTATTAGCCCTGGTACGCTTGATGTGTGTCTACTCACATGAGCCCTAAGGAGTTGTGATGGGAGTTCAGGAGCAGTGCCAGAACTGCAGGGCCTCCGACCCAACTGGCTTTATAAGCGTCTGTAGTTGTTGTGAAGTTCACGGGGTTCATTTCCAAAAGACTGAAGTATTAACTAAGCCAGCAGAGATTGAAAACAGACATATCTTCTCCCAGGCAACCAGTAAAAGAGGACATGCAATCATAGAATGTGCTGAGTTGGAAGGGACCCACAAGGATCGAGTCCAGCCCTCAGCCCTGCACAGGACCATCCCCAAGAATCAGACCATGTGCCTGAGAGCATTGTCCAAATGCTCCTTGAACTCTGTCAGGCTCGGTGCTGTGACCACTTCCCTGGGGAGCCTGTTCCAGTGCCCAATCACCCTCTGGGTGAAGAACCTTTTCATAGCATCCAACCTAAACCCCCCTGACACAACTTCAGGCCATTCCCTAAGCTGCATCAGGGAGGGTTTAAGTTGGACATCGGGAGGAATTTCTTCACAGAAAGGGTGATTAGACACTGAAGTGGGCTGCCCAGGGAGGTGGTGGAGTCACTGTCCCAGGGGGTGCTTAAGGGAAGACTGGACATAGTTGACAAGGTGGTGTTTGGTCATCATCATCATGGCTGGGCTTCACGAATGAAGATTTAGAAAGGCTCTATCCACATTTGTTACAAGCACACTGGTGGCTAATGAGGCCAATACGAGATAGACATATCTGATTGCAAAAGGCACAGCAGAAAGACTTCTTAGGTGGTAAATTCTGCAAGGCATGATTCTTTCTGCGTTGTCTTTTCTCCTCAAGAGTGATCCTGCGTGCGCTCTCAAAGGCATCAGCAGCGTTATAGATGGCGTGTCTCCGGGCCTCCTGATTTGAGGCCAGAGTAGACCAGTTATGTTGGTCAATATGGCCAAGGCTGAGATGTTGTTTCAGGGAGTCCTTGTATCTTTTCTTTGGGGCTCCTCTCTTGCAGCAGCCAGTGGCAAGTTCACCATAAAGCAAGATCTTAAGGAGGTGGTGGTCCTTCATCCTGGAGACGTGCCTGCCCAGCGCAGCTGTGTTCTCAGCAACATGGCCTCAATACTTGTGACTGCTGCTTGTTCTAGAACAGTTGTATTGGTCACATAATCTGACCAGTGGATGTTTAGGATTGTACAAAGACAGCATTGATGGAAGCGTTTTAGGAGACACAGGTGGTGGTTTGGTCATAAGTTGGACTCAATGATCTGAGAGGTCTTTTCCAACATAACTGACTCTGTGATATTTCACTTAGATATTACTGGTCAACGTGGACCTGCACAACACTAAATGCTCCCTAGGGCACAGATGTGCACCAGACAACATCCTAAAGGCCCAAACACACCTTTTCAGAGCAGATATAAGCAAAAGGACACAAAAAAAATTACCAGCCAAATTCTGAAAAAGCGAACGGTGCCCTTAACAGCTGACACTCCCTTTGGAATGGTGGGGAAGGTCGAGGATGGGGAGCGGGATGGGAGGTGCTGAGGCAACGCCGCGTGCGCGCCTCGAGGGCGGGCGGGGGCAGCGCGCGCCGTCCAACCGCCCACAGCAGCCGCCGCGCACGCGGCTGTTCCCGGACCCACTTCGCCAAACGCCGGCGGCTTTTAAGAAGCGCTCGCCGTGCCGGGCACGTTTTACCTCCGGCGTCGATTGGCTGACGGTGCTGTCGATCGCTCCTGTGCCCGACCCCCGCGCCCGCGGATTGGCCGTGGCGGGCCCGAGCGAGGGAAAGCTGTGCCTGCGGGCCGGGCGCGTGAGGCGTTGGGTGGAGGGGCCGCCGCTGCCGCTGCCCGGGGAAGGGGAGGGGACGCGGAGTTTGCTGCGGTGTGTCCGCCGTCCCGGGCAGCGCTGTGTGGTGTACGGCTCCCGACGGGACAACGGGCAGTCATGCCGTGGCCTCGTCTCCCTGGGGATAGCGGTGGGTTCGGGTCCTTGTCATGCCGTGGGGAGAGGCGGAGGTAGCGCGGTGAGGGACGAGGCGCCGTGGAAAGGGGCCTTGACGTGCGAGTCGCGGGAGGAGCGCTGGGTGATTCCGGGGATGTTTGACTTCTCTTCCCTCCCTGCCCCACATGCTGCCGTGCCTCCGGGCATGACGTTGGTGCCCTCGGGCCCGCCCGAGGTTGGCTCGCTTCCTCCATGGGCCTGCTGTAGCTCCTCAGGGCTTCTTCGCCCCTGTGGGCGTCAGCTCCCTTCGTTCCAATCTGGTGTCCCCTTGCTGTGCGTACTGAAAACGGCGTTCTTTCACATGTGTTTGAACTCAACGAGACAGAGGGAAAAGCAGTTTGCCTCTCGCTTGCTCCAACTCTGTTGTTATTTCCGTACCTTGTTAGGCCTGAAGCTGCCAAAAGATATCCTGATTATGGAATTATGTTTGACAAGGTATCTCTTCATGCAGCTTTGAAAAAAAGTCTAATTCACTTGCTGAAAGGAGTTGGGACATTTTCTGCAGCAGAAAGGAGTAGTGCTGTTACAGCTGTTTCCTGCTGGGGAATTTTTTGTGCTCTTCCCTGCTTCTTTTCTGGAATCTCATTTTGATGTAGCCAGGAGTTGTTAGGGGTTTGGTTTTTTTAGTGTCCGGTGACAGATGTCATATAAAGTTCTCCAGAGTGGTTGTTTGCATGGATTCCTGCCCCAAAATGAATACCAGCTTTATAGAAAAGACAAAATAGATCTATTCCCACCAAAAGTTGTTTTTTTCTAGGATGGGAAAAATCACAGTTCTCTTTATTGCCATTCTGATGAGGAGGTTTGTGGAGTCTGTTGTAATGTCATGAGAAGGCTGTCGTGAAAAGAATGCACTGAAGAACAGTTATTACTGTCATTCAAAGCACATTTGAAATGACAAAGCTGGGTCATGATGGGGGGAGGCCACTTCTGGACAGCAAGGTTGCATAACGTGCGTAAATGCGGCAGGGGAGCAGGCACTTCATCACTGCGTAAACCTGGTGTATGATATTTTGAAAACTTCAGCTTATGCAAAATCATTTTAATTTGAGATACTGGGGTAGTTTTCAGTGGAATGTGTAAGTGAAGAATAAAAGCAGTAGTGAGCATAGGTGTGGTTACTGTTTTGTGTGTGGAGGCGAAAGCTTGCTTAGGGTGACCAGCAATCATCTGACAACGTATTATATATAAGGATGGGTGTGATAACATTTGGTATGTTAGCTACTAATACTTATTTTTGCTGGTTTATTTGGCTTTATTTTTACTAGGTCTTCTTTCTGCTAGTGGTAAGGGGTTAAATAGTTAGCTATCAGGTAAAATAAATAATCTGCGTAGATAATTTTTTTCATTTGGATAATTGAGCTCAAAGTAGTAACTTGAAAGTTAATTTTTTAGGGGCTTGACTAGTAAAGTTGGTAATTACCAAATGCTGTGATTGTTTCCCATCACCTGGATGATAGAAACCTAAAGCTGTTGTGTGAGATCTTGGCATGCCAGAGGAATAATGGATAGAGCAGCAGCAATCATATTGATAAACTTTAGTTTTTGAAATTGTGAAAATGGATAAAGCCATGAAAATAGGGACTCCAGAGGTGGGATTGTTTCAAACCATAGTTTTGCAAGAGAGTTCTGCTAAATTTTATTACATATTGGTATTAATTAATTTACTTTTGTTCATTAATTCTTTGAGTTCTTTAAATTAATAAGGCATGTGTTTCTTTGACGTTTTTGTACTAAAATACAGTTGTGAAATAATTGATATTTTTATGGAATGTATTAATAAGAAAATGTCACTCCGAGTAGTTTCTCTCTTACACAACTGCGATAACATGGTTGATGGAAGAATTTATTCTTCTACTTAAGGGCAGCATTCTTAAAAAGTAGCTGTGATACTTATGTTGTGATAGTTGTGATACTGCTTGTGAGAATTGGAATATAGAATATATAGTTGCTGGTTAAAGTTCAAGATTATCACAGCTACAGAACAATGTCTGAAAGCAAATACCTAAGATTATAGTGATTGGATTTAGGATTGAAACTTTATGCTAAACAAAGTAACGGTAAATAAGCAGTATAGCCTGAATTGTTTTTCTGTGTTTTGGTAGCTTCTGTGTGCATATAACAATTTAGCATTAGCTGAATTGGAATGTCTGCAATGTTCTGTTAAAGCTGTTGCAGATATGCATGAAGAAAATAAAACTGCAGCAAATGGATGTGGCAAAATCCGAAGTGGTGCTCAGAATGGGGCTGCTTTACTTGCCCTGATGGAGAAGACTGGATACAGCATGGTTCAACAAAATGGGCAAAGAAAATTTGGTGGTCCTCCACCAGGTAAGCATTTCTTTTGAGATTATGAAGTTTACTTTCTGTAAGGAGAGCTGTACCAAATCAAACTGAAAATTTGTGTAGCCTCAGGTTGCGTATCTTGACAGTGACCAGTAGTAGAAGCTTAAGGAAACTGTAAGAAACACAACATGTGCAGGGTCCTGATATGCTTTACTGTTTAGAGCAGTTCAAGATCTCTTGAGCTAGACTACGGTGAATGTTTGCTTTTGGTGGATTTAAGAAGTCACAGCTTTAAAAGCAGCTAAAGTGGACAGGTAACAGAACAAATGTGGTGCTGAAAATGCAGAGCAGGTTCTGTATGACTGACAATACACTTCAAAATGTTTAATGGCACAGAAGGGAAAAACAAGTTGGTGATGGGAGCGTAACCTACTTTATTTCTTGTCTTACCCCTTACCACTTCCACTGGCCAAAGCATTTTTTTTTAAAATCTGTGCTCTGAGAGAACACCAGTGAAGATAATCTAACTCATTTTGTTTTCAGAGTTGACTATGAAACATTTATTTTAAATAATTTTTGCAGTGTCCTTGTTGACATAAGCAATGTACAGGAATTTTGCTATTGCCATTAATCCTGGTCGAATGAAATGCAATACAGTAACTCTTCTTTTTGAATCAGATTATGCACTTAAACAGAAGGCAGACAAATCATTTGTGCTGCTATTTCAGTTCATTTCACTTGTGGCCTGTGATCCCATGTCTTTATAAGTCATGCTCATAAGCATGAACTGCATTACTTATTGCTATAGTTTAAGATATGGCTGCATCAAAATTATTTCTCTCTGGAAGTTTTTTCCACCTAAGATTTTGTATATACTTTTACTTAACCTATGTAAAATAGCAAAAGGAAGCCTTGTGAAACTGTCACTGGGAAAAGAACTGCATGGCATCACTAGCTACTTCCTGAGGGTTCACCCTGTTCTTAAATTATTTATACATTTTTTACATTATAATTTTGACTTTTAATTAGAATATTAGACAGTATCACTTGTATCTGTTTAGCAAAGCAACTTTTATTAATCTGTTAATCTTTTCTGAAAGTAGATGTGTTTGACAAGGTATCTCTTCCATAAATCTGCTCATTGACATTAGTTATATATCTTTCCTTAAAATCTTCATGTATTTTCATACTTGCTTAGGTTGGAAATTGCCCTAAGTTACTATAAATGGTTTTAGGCGAGATGAGACTTGAATGTTTGAGACAACTTGTAAGTAACTACAATAACCTTGTAAATTAAGAGCTTCACTATGAATTTTGCCTGTTTAAGATGTGGTTTCTAAAAGCTTGTATTGCTGCCAAGGGATAGACTCAATGTCAGCAGATCTGCCTGAAAATTGTTGTAAAGAATTACAGGTTTTATTCCACCTGGCAGCAGCAGCACACTTCTTGTTCAGTTTATGCTGCTTGTGGAAAATGTATCTGTAGAGTGTTTAAAAAAAAAAAAAGACAAAATTGAATTTTCATTGTTTTGTTTGGGTCCACTGTTTTGTTTGGGATGGCTGCAGAGATAATGATGTAATTAGGTGTGTAAATCATCAGATTACATGGAAGTTTAAGATGGCATGGATCTCACTAACAGTGAGAGGATTATAACTGTAATGTTGATTGAAGTTTGATTACTTGCACTGTTGCAAAAATAGGAGTCCCATTTTCTATCATCCAGTGATGAATCAACTACCCAGTCAAGGAAACTCTCTGGTCAACTACTTGAGGGTTGCTTTTGATTAATTTTCCATGTTTGCTCTGCTAAGTACATGACACTCTTTGGCAAAAGAGGCACAGACCAGTTTTCTTTAAGTCAAGAGTCCCAGCTTGCTCCAGTTGGCTGTAATGTGCTGTAATGCTAAGTTAGTATGCAGCTTTAAAATTAGAAAGGGAGCTTTTTGTATGGTAGATGGCTTTTACTTGCTGAGAATCACTGCTACTAGGCTGAGAATGATGTTAAAATTTGTGTAGTTAATGAATGAGGATTGTTATTTAATTTCATGGCTTGTCTGCACAATCAAGCATAGCCTCCTCCTTTTTCCCCTGACTGAGGTGTGCAGTTGCTTTTGTCTTTGGAGCTCCTAAGTGGTGTACAATTGGTTTATGCTTTTTATGTGGGAACCGACTGGCACGATGTGAGTGATGGCAGTACTGGCCTGCAAATATTGTTAGTTTTCATGTCTGGTCAGACCTCAAGTGAAGTGGTTTATAAAACTAAAAATGATAAAGATGTTGAATGCTGTGTGGAACAGAGACAGGCTTTTTCCTAGGTAAGTCATGGCAGTGTGGCTCCAAAGGCATATCAGTTCTGATGCCTTGGTAGCTTCCCTGTATACCGGGTAGTTCTTAGTGTACAGTTAGTGTACAGTTTATAGATAAAAAATTGTTCTGTGAGAAGGCAAGATTTTCCCAATTCTGTTAATTTTTTTTTTCACAAGTAAATTACAGGCTCTTTGACAATACTTAAGGAAAAAGTGTTAATTACAAAATCATCTAAATATATTTTATTCTGAACTTCAAACCAAAGTAAGTTATTTAATTAGCTTCTTGTTTTAACTTGTCATCAGTAATTATTTTTTTCACCTTGCTTCCCTTTGCTTTGTGATTCCTTACTAGTACTTACTAGTACTTACTAGTACTTACTGAGTTTTGTGGGTTTTATTTTTTTTGAACCTTCTACCTGATTTCTTTGTGTAATTTAAAAAAAAAAGAAACAAAACCAAACAAAAGTTATAAGATTTTTTTAAAATTATTTTGGGAAAATGAAGTGCTGTTATTTTGCAGACCATAACTCCATATTTTTAATTTCATGAATTCGTTTTTACATTATCTGTTGAACATATCCTTTAGCGTATATGACAGAGATATAAAAGAATGTGTGAATGTCCTTGGCTTAGGGAGAGAGGCATGGATGTTCTTGTTTTCAGGTGTCAGCCTGAGACTGACTTGTTCTGTGGATTTTTTTTAATTTATTTCCTTTTTTCCTACACTCCAGCCTGTGAAAACTGTGGTCTGTTTTTAGAGGATAACTGTTCAGTCTTTTTGGCTGTTGAGGAAAGGATGGCTCCATATCCTGCCTTCCTTAAGGAGTCCTATTTTATTGGAGGAATGAAAAAGGTGGAAGCAAAATGTTTGGACTTTTTTGAATGATGTCAAGGATGAAAAAACGTGCTGCACTTGGGACCCTTACCAAAATGTCTAAAAATATGGGCAAGAAATGCAGAGAAACTTTGTGCAACTTTAAAATGTTGCAGTAGAAAATACAAGTGAAGTTCTTTCTCAGTTGTCTCAGTCAGTTTCATCAATAACTGACATAAAATTATAAGGGACAAAAAATGATTGAAAGGTAGACTCTTAGTAAACCTGTCAGTATTTTAAAATACCCTAGTTCACTGAGTTGTCACACAGATTCCATTGGGAAAAAAAACCCAGAAGATGAAATTAAGAGAAATACAATCTGTGGGCTTCTGTTATTTTTTTATTTAAACATAATAAAAATAAGAAAGAATGGATGAAAATGTGCTAGTTTTCAGTTGAGATTAAAAATAACTTACATCTTCAAATTGGGTGTGGGAGAAGTGTGCCTATCTGGCATTTGTACTAAGATTGCTGTTGGACAATTTATTTTAAGGTTGGGAAGGTCCTCCACCTCCTCGTGGATGTGAAGTTTTTGTGGGTAAGATTCCTCGTGATATGTATGAAGATGAATTAGTTCCTGTTTTTGAGAGAGCTGGGAAGATCTATGAGCTCAGACTGATGATGGAATTCAGTGGTGAGAATCGAGGCTATGCTTTTGTGATGTACACCACTAAAGAGGAAGCCCAGCTAGCCATCAAGATTCTTAATAATTATGAAATTCGTCCAGGGAAGTTTATTGGTGTCTGCGTAAGCTTGGACAACTGCAGGCTATTTATTGGAGCAATTCCTAAAGATAAGAAGAAAGAAGAAATACTGAATGAAATGAAGAAAGTTACAGAAGGAGTGGTGGATGTCATTGTTTATCCAAATGCCACTGACAAAACTAAAAATCGTGGCTTTGCTTTTGTAGAATATGAATCTCACAGAGCAGCTGCCATGGCTAGAAGACGACTAATCCCAGGTAAAACTGTAATTCAGCTGAGTTTTTGTGGGGAGTATCTGTCTCCAAATTGTGGGGAGCGAGGTGGTGGATCATCCCCGTTTTCCATTTTTAAGACGTTTTCGGAAGTACAAAACTGCAGTAGTGCCTTTTGGCTAAGGAGGATTTTTTTTTAATTACTATTTTTTTATGTTTTGTGGTTTGGGTTTTTTTTTTTTTTACTTTTTTTGCAAGAAACTGAAATTGAAGCAATTCTGACTATCAAAAAATAGACATCAATTTTATAAACACAAGCTACTGTAATTTACACCAATATGTATTTGCATGGGCGCACATGCGGTTTTCATTTACATGCACGAGGCCTTGCACACAAATTCTCTTAAAACTGAGCTTAAAAATTATAATGCTTTGCATGTGTCCCTTATTTGGGTGTCATGAGTGGTGTTACTGGTGTTTTATTTAAGCATATTGGAAAGGTCTTTAATCTTTTACTAGAAAATAATTTTAAGAGTTTAGCAAGTAGAAGATACCTTTTTCTTTGCACCTTATTTTATACATTTTGAGGGAGGGAAAGTAAAAGGAATTGAACGTGCTGAAAAAGGAGGGAATAGGTAGAGTTAAAAAGCAAAATTCTAGAAGAGAAATTAAATAGACAGGAGATGAAACAAAACAGTAGAGTTGAAGAAGCAAAGTCATGAAAACAGATAATACAGCATCGGCCTTGCTGAAATGAATGGCAAAACTCCCTGTATTTATTAAGGCCAAGATGTGGGCAAGTCTTGTGTTGACTGCTGACAGAGTGCTAGGAAGACGTGTTACCTAAGATTATATAATATGTATATTATATATATGCAAATATAGAATATGCAATGTATAATATGTAATATATGCAATAGGTAATAATAAAATATAATAGTATAACACATAGAATTACATGTAGAATGTGTATGCATATATAATTATTTATACATACATACATACATACATACATACATATATATATATATGCAAAGTAGTGGGAGAAATACCTCCAGATCACTGAATATAAAATAAACTAGTTGTGTGATATGCAAAATGATGGGTTGATATGAGTATCAAAGTAGGTTTGGTTTTGGATTTTTTTTTTTTTTTTTTTTTTTTTTTTAGTTTAGGTTCTAGCATCTGCCATAAGATGGAGTAAGGCTTGTGCTCGTGATATATATTTAGATTACTTTTTCCAGGTGTTGACTATACTTTTTAAAGTGGTAATATTATTGAAGAGGCTGTGTTTACTAGCTGGTAAAATACACTACTTTTAGTCTCTTTATGTTTGTGTGAATATGCATGTCACAAAGTCTTTGTTTTGACAGCTTATGGTGCTTAATGAGCCCTAAGGGTACAGATAGAACATGTAGCGTTTTTGAAAAATCTCATTAACATTTCCAAATTGCTTAAGCAGATGCAGGCAACAAACCCCAGTTTCATGTGGTATACATAATATTTGCTTTTTGTAGAGGTAGTTGATAAGAATGCTTCTGTTTTCCTTTACGTGTTTCTTATTTACCTAATGCTTCTTTGCTGTAGGAACGTTCCAGCCCTGGGGTCATACTATTCAAGTAGACTGGGCAGATCCTGAGAAAGTAGTTGATGAAGAAACTATGCAGAGAGTTAAAGTATTGTATGTAAGAAATTTAATGATATCTACTACAGAGGACAAAATTAAAGCTGAATTCAACAAGTTCAAGCCAGGAGTAGTTGAACGTGTAAAGAAGTTGAGAGACTATGCTTTTGTTCATTTTTTCCACCGAGAAGATGCAGTTGCTGCTATGTCTGTAATGAATGGAAAGTGCATTGATGGAGCCAGTATTGAGGTAACACTGGCAAAGCCAGTTAACAAAGAAAGTTCTTGGAAGCAACATTTTAATGGTCAGATAAGTCCCAGTTCTGAAAATCTCTTAGGGTTTCCTAACAAAGAAGATGGTACTCAAAAATCCTTGGGGAAACCAGCAAGTCTTTCAGTTCGTCTTAATGGCCAGCACAGTCCAGGCTCCCCTGAAGTTGAAAGAAGTACATACCCTTTTTTTCCAGGAATAAAGCTTACTCCAATTAGCATGTATTCTTTAAAGCTGAATCACTTCAGTTCTGCAGTAATGCATCTGGATTATTTTTGTCATAAAAATAGCTGGGCACCGCCAGAGTACTGCTTGTATTCAACAACAAGTCAGGATGGGAAAATACTCTTGGTGTACAGGGTGCTTATTTCTAGTATTGCAGATGATTCCCAGAGTTATTTCATGCCAGAAAAACTCTGTACAACGGTAGAAGATGCAAAGGAATTGGCAGCACAGTTCACACTTTTACATCTAGGTAAGCATTAACAGTTTTGATTAGTTCTGAAGAACTGAAGCTATTGCTTTAAAGTTGTTCTTTGTGTATATATCTTGGCATGTGTGTGTATTTTCATGTAAAGTATAAGCTAGTCTGCAGAAGCATTGGTTCTTGGATCAGTTGAGTCTAGACCATCAGATGAGAGCACTGAAGAAACACTGTGTAAATGTCTGAACAGTCCAATGCCAGGGGCATTTTTGCTTGCATTTGTCTACTGTAATGATGTATAAGGAAAAACTAGATGACATTTAAGTGACTTAAGTCATCTGTGTGATGATTATGGTGCTGAAAATTTATTTGAAAGTCTGTCTGTGTTTTACTGTCTTCATTTATGTATATTGCATTTTTTAAAATTAGTATGCAACTATTAGAAAAGGGAAGGTTTTATCTGATAAAAAGCTATGTTAAAATCTGTTCTTTTCATAGCTAAGAAGACAGATCACTGTGGTTCTGACAGTGTTATCCCTGTTACTCTACAAAGTAAAATACATAAATAATACAAAATATAAAAGTTTTGCTATATAGTTCCTGCCTACCATTTTTCAGAACATGCAACACACATAAAAATCCATTCAGATTGCAGAACTAATTTCTACAGCCACGTTGTTTATTAATAATTGTAGTCATCATCTGATTAAATTTCGTGCTCAAATCAGAATTTTATATCTGTTACTTGGATTTGAAGGCTTTTACAGAGCCATACCATAATGGTTTGATAAATCATACTCTCAGGCACAGCTGTGTATATACCACTTGTTATTTTGAATAGTTTCTCTTCTTAGTTCTTTTTCTGGCCTTTACATTCTCTAATATTTGAAGATGAAATAGGACTGATCTTTATAATTTTGCAAGTTTTATGAACTATCATGTAATTTCTTTGATTTGCTGAGTAATGTTCTTGTGCATTTGTTGCATAGTTTCTTACAGCATGTCTGCATCAGTAAATGCTGTATCATGAAATGAATGCTCACTAGTCTTTTTCCAACAAGGTATTTTTCTGTAATTACAAAAAGAGGTTTCTAATGAATCCTAGAATAAGGTGTGTTTTCCTTGCCCTGCCCCTCCTTGATAGCCCTTCCCCTGTCCCCCATTTTTTGCCCCTTCCTTGTTCCCCTTTTTGCCCCTTCCCTATCCCCTCTTCCTTATACCCTTTTCTTCGCCCTTTGGCACTTTCCTGTCCCTCCTTCTGTGCCTTTTCCCTGTCTCCCCTTCACTATCCCCCCTTCTTTGCCCTTTCCCTGTTCCCTTCCCCCTTTATTTACTCCTTCCTGGTCCACCCTTTTCTTGGCCCTTCTCTGTCCCCCTTCCCTGTCCCCCCTTCTTATTCTTTGACCTTCTCTGCCTGACGTTGCCAGTCTCCGCCTTTCTTCAGCCTTTTCTGCCTTTCCCTTTTGACCCTTTTCTCTGCCCTTCTTCACCTTCTTTGACCTGGTCAGACCTACTTAGCCTGTCTTACCTTGTCCCTCAAGTTCTCTGCCCTTCTTCAATGTTTATTGCTCTTCTGCTCTTCTCTGCCGTTCTCTGTCCCTTCTCCACCCCTTTTTCGTAGGGGTACCCCCTCCAGCCACCAGTGTTTGCCCTTCTCTGCCTGTCCCTGTCAGTATTTGCCCTTCTCGTTTGGCCTCTCTGCTCCTTTCTGCTTGTCTCTGCCCTTCTCTGCCACTTTCCACTGGTCTCTACTGTACTTTATCCTTGCTTTTCACCTTGCTTGTCTGTCTTGCTCTCCCTATCCTTCAAACTTCTTTTCTTTACCCTTTATGTCTTTCTCTCTTTGTGTTTCTACTTTGACTTCTTTATCTTCCTGTCTTCTTGTCCCGTCTTCTCAGCCCATTTTTTAATCTTTTCTGCCCTTCTTCAACCTTTCCTGCCCTTCTTAACCCTTCTGCTCTGCTGACTCCCTTTCCCTTTGACTTTCTTTGCCCGTCTTCCCCTTCAGCCCTTGTCTGCTCTTTCTCATTCCACTCTTTTGCCCATCTGTCTTCGCCCTTCTCCTTCACCCATCTTCTCTGCCCTTCTCTGCCTTTATTTCTACACCACCCTTCTTTTTCCTTCTGCTCTGCCCTTCTTTTTTGTCTATCTCTGCCCATCTTTGTGAATCTCTTCTTTTGTCTGCCCTGCTCTGGCCTTCTTTCACCTTCTCTGTCCTTTTCCTTTGCCCTTCTATGCCCTTCTGCCCTTCATTCTCCTCTGCACATCTCCACTTGTCTTAGACCATCTCTATCTTCTCTGTCCACCTTTCCCCGTTCTTCTTTCTTCTTTGGAATTCTTTTAGTGAAGAATTATGTTGAAGAAGATAGGCTTGTTCAGGTAATACAAACCAGTTTCTTGTCTAAGTGTGTGTCAGAAGTTGACTCGATTTTTTTATTATTACTATTATTTTACTTCAGAATTGGAGCAATGCCAAAGTTTTTGGATTTTAAGTGTTTTAGTTTTTCAATGGTGGTAGACAAATTTTTTCTGAGTTTCTTACAATATCAAGGTAATACAAACAGGTTTGACTTCAATTACTGTTATTTCCATTTATTATTATGCCAGACAGTGTCAGACTTGGTGATCCTGTATAGTGCAGCTCTGGATAGAAACATAATGAAATCATACAGTACAGGAAATAATGGTTTTCTGATTGGCTGTGCATGCATACAGGGCTCAGGACTGCATCCACAAGTTTAGTTTGAGTCTGCTTTAGGAATGCAAGGAGGAGAAAGGAGAACAGATAAAGAAGTGTATATTAGAATACATTTAGTTCATAATTTTGGCCCAGTGAAACAAAATTTTCAGGGAAGTGGAAGCAGAAATAGTAACTAAAAAGTTACATGAAGTCCAGTTCTATTGGTGACTGCTTCACTGCTGTTCCTGAGAGGTAGTTTAAGAAAGACTTCTCTGTTCCCTTCTGTTCCCCCTTCTTTCCCCCGATTTCTTTGGGTTTGGGTTTTTTTGGTTTGGGTTTTTTCCCTCACCTGTTGTAGTTTTGGTTAATTGGAAAAGCTGTTCCTGATAGCAAACTGTTAAAAGTAGTGTTGCCATCCTTCTCATCCTCATACTGCTACTTAAACTTGTTCTGGAAGTCTCTTGATATGTAGGCTGTGGTGAGATTTCTTCTTTGGATGAGTTTATAGCAGACTTACTGCAGCCTTAACTAGGATACCTTTTTTTTTTTTTTCCCAATGCATGGCTAAAATGTAAATAAGCTTTTTCTTTTTGCTTGGGTCCTTGCTTCTCCTAATTTTTTATTTGGCATGCCCAAAGGGTCTTGGAGGAAGAAGAACCTCCAAAGGGCAAAAATTTATACACTGTCTCCACTTCAGCAGTGGTGTCTTTGGTTTGCATTAGTAGAAGGTGGTGCTTTCAGATGGTCAAAGTGATGAGATTATTTTTAATAATAAAATAGTAAGTATCTCTGGTTTCGTACACAACGTGAGCAGCACTTTGCTGGTGGAGCGTCTGTTTCCCTATTTTTCTAGCTATCAGGGGCCACACTTTTATAACCCAGATAATCCTGAATACAAAAGATGATAAGGGTGCTAAACTCAAAATAGTTGTGTGAGGCTTTCCTTAAAAGAGGAATGAAGACAGTTTCAGGTTTTATGCTTGACCATACATGCCTGCCTATTTTGTGTCTTACAGATAGTGTTGTCTGAAGATAATATTTTCTCTCCTATACTTCTCTGGGGAGGAATCACCAGAACAATTAAAAATGTTAGATTAAGAATGATTATTCACAGTTGCGGGCAAATCCTGAATGCAACACAAGTTTAAACAAATGAAGAAAGTATGTGCTGAGATTCTTCTCTCTTCAGTTATAATTAGAAGTGCTGTAGGGAAAAGATGTTAAGGTGAATTTAAATTATCAGTATTTTAAAGCTTTTTAGCACTTCAGTGTGCCATACAATCACAATTAATGTGAATTGTTATTTAGCAGAATTCCCAAATCCCAGGATTGGTTTTTGACAGCTGTCTACATAATGGCCCAGTGCTAGTAATGTTTTCTTGTTATCTTTAACTATACTTTTTTTTTTCCTTCTTTTTATGGCCTGTGTGCATTCTTGTTTGTGAGGATTTGGCCTTGCAAGGAGCATACAGAGCCCTGTTTTGAAACAAACATACAAGGCTGACTTTTGAAAGATTCACATCTTTCATGTTGGTAAAAGGCCTCTTTTTGATGTTGGCACTGAAACATAGCCCTAAGGAGTCTAAAAATACAACTTATTTTGCTTATCTAATCTACAGCAGTTGTTTTTGTTCCAACTTTTTATATATATATATATACAGTATGTTGAAAGAAACATCTGCAGCTCAAGAAGAGTTGCTAGATGTGACAGAGGATCCCTGCTCACTGAAGTGTCTGTTGCATGCTTTGATGTGTTGACTGAAGCTGCACCGATCCATGTGTTGTGGTTTTTCTTTGGGTTTTGGCGGTTTTGTTTGGTTGGTTTGGTTTTTTTTGATAAGTAGCAGTGATTTGAGGAAAGTCTGACTGTGCTTCTTCATGCGAGTACAAAAATGACATAGGGAGTAATTCTTTCTGGTAAGTAACTTCTTTTACAGGAACCTAATTTTTTGACCACTTAATTTTTGCTAATGTGTACAGGTTAGTTTTGTTAGCGGTTTTTTTTCCTGTTTTTTTTTTTAATTTATTTTATTTATTTTTTAAAGCATATAGGCAGACTAAGGTAAGTAAATGAGAAAGGGCTGCTTTGATGGAACTTTAAGATTGGACTGCTATGATTAATGATCTCAAGGCATTCTGGTTTTTGTGGTGTGTCTTTCTGTATTTCCTATCACATAATAGAATACTTGGTTTTTACACAGTATATACAGTACTGTTATACAGCAGTCTTGAGCAGACAGCAGTACAACAATTAACCACTTGGTGTCACCTGAATATTTTGAAAAGGATGCTTCTTAGAAAATACAGGAACCTATGGTTTCACTGAAAGATGAATAAGCTGTATTTTAATGTTGCTAGATAAAATCATTAGCAGATCAAGGGAGTGAAAACAGTCAGGTTTGCTTAAACCTACAGAAATTACATGTCTGCATGTCCATTTGTGAGAAGGAGAACAGTTACATGTTGGAGTTCCAGAAGGTGAATGTAGGTGGGGTAGGGCGAGAGAGGAGCAGAATAGAAGAAAACCCTGAATGCCCCGTAGAAGTAGTTAATACATCTTCCATTCATTCGGTTCTCATTACTACACAAATAAGTCTGTGCCTTTAGAAGTTACACAACTCCTTAGTGTCATTTGCAGAATGGTACTTGGCTGTTAAATGTGGCATCCAGTTAGAAAAACATGGAAGACTTCCTATTCTTACCTGTCCTGGAGGCTGACTAAATCTCAAGTTTGGAGACTGTATAGGTGTGTAATTAGCATGCACTGTATATTCCACCTCTGGTTCAGCAGCAGTGTTAGTACAGAGTCAATCCCAAAACAGGAAGTGTTAGTTATCATTCAGGTCCTTTGCATCAGTAATGTAGATTTGTAGCTTATGGAGTCAATCTGGCTCGTCCATATGACTTTGAAGAACAGGCAGAAAAGAACTTGAAGTTCCAGAGATGTGCTCTGAATTATAGAACTTCCACCTCCCTTTCTTTAGTAAGAGTAAGCATCTGAACCCTGGAAAAGCAGAACAGTCATTAGAAAATTATGTTTTGTTCGTTTGCATGTTTTAATTGCTGCTGGTGGAATTCCGCTGATTTAAGAAAATACTGGAACATGTCAGAACCTATTTTTGCTAGAAATAAATATGTTAAGATAACACCCTCTGAAGCAAAGGCTGAGTTCTTAGAAGTTCTCTTACCTCCTGAGTTTTACTTAAGGGTGATGGGAAAGAATGGAAGAAGTTTTGGTAAAGCTTCCTTGGTTTCAGGGATCTGCCAGGCTTTAAATGGGTATTCCACTAGAGGGTATTGTTTGTTCTTTCACACATGCTATTTTGTGTGATGTCTCACTTTGGCACAATTCATGGAGTTAATTTTTAGGTAGAAGAGAGTATTTAAAAGTGTTTAATACAAAGCAATTAAAAGAAAAATATACCGGTAAAACTCTAAATCTCTAATAAATCTCAAGAAAAAGCATTTTAATAACTAACTATAACACATAAATAAGTTTTATTCCAGTTAATCATATAGAATTTACATAGTAAATGGTAGTGAAATAGGTGGAGCAAACTTTGTATCTTACTACTATGAATTCACATCTTAAATATTGCATGCAGTAGCCATTTGCAAGTCAAGGATAAAACTTGTATAAACTAGTTCAAAAGTCTGTACTCAGCATCTGTGTCTCAGAACAAATGTATCTGTAGGCTGCTGCCCTAGATTTTCCACATTATACTTAAAGTTCAAATGAAGTGTTTTTACTTTAATGTTTTGTTGTAGGGATTTTCTTTATTTAAACATTGCCTTGGTTTGCTTATCAAAATTAATTATGTTGCTGTTGGAACAGTCAACAGCCTGGTACAAATTGTAAGATGTTTCAAAGAAACCCCCAGAAATTGCTGGCTTTTTTTAGCAAATACAGATGATAAGTGGTGATTTAGTGGGTTTGGGGTTTTTTAGTGATTTTTAGAAAGGCTCAGAATGTAGTATAAGAAGTTTCTTAACAGTAGAATTTAGAAGTCTTAAATATTTATCAGATGACTTACACATAATGGTTTTTATCACAGCCCCCGAGCAAGCATATATAACTTTGCTGTCCCTGAATGCAGCATGGTGGGATAGTAAAGGTGAGTAAACCTCCCAGGATTGTTTATTGCAGGTTTTTGCCCCCTCGAAGACGTTGTCTTAGCTGTATTGTTTGCACTGTTTGTTAGAGAAGTTGTTCTTTTCCCCACATACACAGCCCTAAGAAAGCTTGTAGAGATTTTCTGTCTAGTTGCTTTTTTCAAGAGACCATAGCTCTACTGTGGACCTGCTGTTGGATCACCCAATCTGATGTTCTTGTCGATTGTGCAGCACAAAAGAAGGTTATAGTTTTTACTCCTAAAATGATTCTGAGTCATTTTTCAGTCATTTCTCAGTTATTTACTGTTCCAGGTTGGGTTTAAATTTATGTTCAGGAGTGGGAGTTACTCCTCTGGGTACTTGGACTATTTCTTTGGGTAGTCAGTGTCATGGGAAAGAGAGAGACTCATGTTTCCTTCTCTGACTTTGTTTTTTTCCGAATATGCTATTGTGGATGAATTTACGTGCGTATATCTGTCACTAATGAGGCCTCTTTCATTTTTTTTAAAATTAGGATTACCATTTTTGAGTGTCATGAGAATGGTTTTTAACAGCTTAAAGGGCAGTTTGAAAACAGTATTAAATCTGCGCTTGGTGTTAACTTTACTGCTGGAAGCTTCTATTCTGAGGCACACTGAATTTTTCCTGCAGATTCAGTTATTTTTCTAATGCTGCTGCTTATGGACAGGGAACATAAATTTGTAAATTTTGGCCTCTGTAGGAGAGCTTGGAGAAAATAAGTAAGAAAGATACAACAATGTTGGACTATATTTATCTGTGAAATAACTTGACTGCCTTCAGCAGTAGAGTCAGTCACTTCAAAACAGGATGGAATTTAGTGCCCTTTTTTTTACTCCACTGATGATCACAATGAAGCTGGGTTTTGTTTATGCAGTGTACATCAGGCAGAACTTGGCACTTAGCTGATAGTACACTGATCTGAAGTGTTAAATATGCAATGTGAAAGACTACTGCTGTGATACGTATGATATATGTAACTGTTGTCTGTGTTAATATTCTGTGTTTAGTGAAGGTGAAACAAAGGGTCATTACAAACTTTGGTTAAAATTATATATATATAGGATGAGGAAATACTTATGTTCAGTACCAAAGAATGGGTTTTTTTAAAAGTATAAGGCTCTTAGGAGAAAAAAACAACCTTGAACTGTTGACTAAACAGTTTCTTAATCATTTGAAGTAGTGCTGCAGAGGAAAGGGAAGGACACAGCACTGGCATAAGACTGTGAATGCCTTCATTATACCATTATCTTAAGTTCCTTAATAGTTTAGTTCATCTTGAAATGGGTAATGCAGTATGTTTGTTGAAATAAAGTCTCTTTCATCTCCCGTCCACCCCTTTTTCCACAGCCAACTGCACACCCTACTTGGCTTGAATTTCTCTGAAGAAGAAAAGTTTGGAATTTATTGCTTTGGATCTTGTCATGAAAGAAAAAAGAATACCACGCGGATATATAATTACTGGAAATTCACGTTCCATGTTTAACGATGAATAATTCTTCGAAGTGCATGTGTGTATTAAGCATTTCAATATGAAGATTAGTGAAATTGAATGTTAAATTGTTTTGGTTAGTTTGATTAAATTTGGGTTTTAAAAGATAATTTGTTTAAAAGATTTTTATTACCTGTAACATACACTAGTAACTTATATTCAGAGTTAAAATAATTTGCCACAATTCCTTGTATTTTGTGTCACACAGAATTTTTACAGCTTCTGTTGTAAGTAATGAATCTTAAGCAAACATTAAAAAAACCAACAAACCAAAACCACAACATCCTGGCAACCTTACCTTTTCATACATGATCGTACATAATATGAAACGAATACCACACTCAAATTTGTTTCCATAATTTGATGCAAAATTTTATTGGAAGAACATGTCCAATAAAATCTTTGCTTCTGGTATAGCAGTACATCAATGGAGGAGTGATATTTTGAAGGACTTTAGGTACCATCAGGCTACATGAAATTGCTGTAGTCATACATTGAGGTTCAATACCTTAGTTATTCTTTGAAACAAAGGCAAATATCCTGACACATATAAATTACATGTATTTTTAAGTACAGCTCACTAGGTTGCATTTCCTGTTGTTAGCACCTCTCTGTTGGGACATGTGTGCTTTCATATTCACAGAGGCCTTACTTTTATCCAGGATATCCCTTGAAACCAGCACTTGTGCTTGCCTGTGGCAGCCATGTGAACAGCAGCTTGCTCACTTTCTAATCAGGCCATGTTCTTCTTAAAAAGCATTGTTTAGCATTAAACTGAAAATAGTTTTCGATTTTTAAAATCAGATATATGTAATTCACTTTGAGCCATCTTTATTTTTATTGTGACTATTTAGCATTTCTCAGTCAAGTGCTTTATTTATTGAATGACAAAAAAATAACGGCCTTTTTTTTCCTTTTTAAAAATCTGAAACAAATACTGTAGACCATCCTTATTTTTGGAATTTTATATATAATTTCAGTTCCTTGTCGAGGAGTGGGCCAAATGGCATAGTTAAAGCGTCTGAGGGCCTCACCTATGCAAGCAATATTTGTAAGCTGTTGTGTCTGAAAATTGTTTGTCCAAAAGGAGTATTATGTAGACAGAAAACAATGCAATGGAAAGATTCAAAGTTAAATAATTTTTCTGAAAAGCAATCAACTATTGTGGTCCACTACACATTTTGGTTAAGTTTATTTCATCACCATATTAAATTGTCCTTCTTGCTGTTAATTTAGGTGCAGTTATAGCAGTTTCATTTTATTTGCATTTGATATTAGCTAAATAATAATTGTTTTAAATGTTGCAATTTTTAATGTTGAAATAATGTGTTTGACTTCTGTACTTGAATTAACATTTATATTAAATTTATGCTGTTCATATTCAGTGTGTGTAAATGAAAAATAAATTATTATTTTACACGTGGTACCTTCAAGTCTCACTTTGCAGGGTTCACTTTGCTTTGTCTAGTGGCAAGCTTTGGCCAGAGGCTCCAGTGCTCCAGTGCTTTGCTGAACAAGAGGAACTGTATTTAAGTGGCTTCATGAAGCCTTGAAAAAAGAAAAGTAGTTCTTAAAAAGCAAGTTGCTTAGTAGCTTCTGTCACATTTGAAAGTTGTTTAACTGTTAGGATTTCCTAAGAAACTGAGTTGAGAGGAAAGAAGAGGGGACTTGTTTAGTCCATGTTTAAATTAAGTGGTTTCTAAGGCCAAGACAAAAATCAGTGTTTGAGATAGAATAATACAGTATCATGCCGATAAGATATGGGTATGATAATTTAGAAGTATTTGTAACTGTTAGGATGAGAATTCTAGTCTACAGAGTGCTGAAATAAGCTTAATTTTTATTTTTCAGGTATCTTAATTAAGACTCAGTTTTTTGTTTAATTTCTAATGGAAATCTGGGCCAATTCTACCTGGGTAGGATTGGTATTGTTAGCTACATAAGGGAGCTGTGGGACAAGGTGCACAGAAGTTGCATAACGATAAAATGAAAGACAGTATAAGAGCTGTGAATAAAAGTTCCCCCAGTGCTCACCGACCAGTACTGTAGAAAGCCATGGGATTGTATTTTTCAGGTGTGTAACATCCTTCTTGATCAGATATCTAACTGTGCTCCCTTCTTTGAAGTAGTCTGGTGCAAAAAACCCCACCAGTTTTCTACAAACTAGCAGCTCCTGTGATTATTAACAACTAGCCTGGATCTTGGCAATTATTTTCAGTATTCCCAACACATATGACTGTACAAAACCACTATGAAGTGTTTGAGCATAATGAGTACTGGGTTCATGTCAGCCAATTAAAACCCTTAGGCAAAACTTGCCTTTGTTTTGCAGATAAGAGCAAAGGTGTAAGGAATAAGCAGCTGAAGCAGCAGTAGCTCTCGGTGTAATTCAGGGTTTTTGAAGTTTATTTAGAACACATCATTAGAAATCTCTAATCAGTGTGCAAAATTGCAAGCATATTTTTCATATTTATAAGAATCTCACTGGAGCTTATTAACCTTTGAAAAATAAACCACCATGTATTTCCTGTATAAAGGTTTTAGCAGAGAGGACATGGTGTTGCATAGTTTTTACATTACAGTTGCATAATTGATAAAAAGTAAATTGGTGTACCATCCCGTTCTGTAATTGGTGTAGAAACTAGAAGTGCCTCTGAAAGTAGAGGTCGCTAACTTCAGTGAAGCAAAATTTTGTTACTTTGTGCTAAACCCACCGCATTAAAAACTTGCCCTAAATAAGAAAAGGAGGTCCTTATTCTTAGTTATCTTTTTCATCTTGCCTCTTCTTTTTGTTTAATATTACTGCCATGTGATTGGTGATAGATAAGAAAGCCTGTACTGTGGAGAAAGCATATTAGAGCCAACAGCCTCTATCTTCCAACCCCCCTTTTTTCATAGGGAAAAACAGTAGGTGGGCTGGGGGAACCGAGGCTGCTTTTCACCCGGAGTTAGCATCCTAGATAATAATATGAATAAGAGTTACTAAATTAATGGAAATTTCTTTTAAATAGGAGACAGCATTAAAGAGCAAGTCGCCTGGGAGATGTTGGGTTAACGCACACTCCTGAGGTAAAAGTAATCTCTGAGAAGTCAGTTGTTCCAAGTCTTCAGTGAATTTATTTCTTAACACAGTTGCAGTAACAATGAATGACCAGTTCTGCATCTCTTCACATTATTTAGTGTTGGACAACCAGAGGAAGGAAAACAAGTAATGATCCAGCAGTCTTAAGTATAACATTCCCGACATTAGAAAGAGCCCTAATAGGCCTCAAAACAGCCAGGAAAAGGGAAGGTTTAAAGCACTCATTCAGAGCTCCTCTTTCTACCTGTCATAGTTGTTCACCATGCTAACAAGGAGCCACCACGACTAGAAATCATTCCACCTTGTCTGTGTCTAAAACTGTTCAGTTTAAGAGATAGAGTAAAATGGTTTACCCTGCTCACTACATCACAGGCTGCATCAGTAATAAAGTTACACCCTTAACCTTCTCAGGAGACAGAGCCTGTGCTGCCATGAAATGGCAACTGAAGCCACCAGGATGGCACCTGGTGTCAGGAATGGCACCAGGCGTGTGGGATTCAGCTAGAGGCAGGCCTTTTCCAAAGATACAGACACTGCAAAACTACCATGAGAAGCATTTAACAATGCAACCACTGTCAAACCAGGTGGAATTTTTAGGATTCTACAATGGAAATAGCTGCTCATGGGAATTGAAGAAATCTTAGGTACTGCGTGAAGGTGAAATTTCAAGAAGTATAAGAACACTTAAATATCTTCCAAAAGATCCCACTTCAGGCCTTGAACATTTTTTCTCCTGACAGAAGCTGTGGCTGCTATTGACTTAGATTTTCCTGCAGAGGGAAGTATTCGCTAGTGTATGAAAACCAAATCCATGCAAATACATATTGGCAGCAGTAGGGCCCTTCTGTCCCAAATCCAGATGTCTCCCTTGCTCTGCTTTACAGATTAAACAGTAAGGGAGGGGAAGAACAATTTTTCCCATTTCCCAGTACCTTTTCACAGGCAGAACTTAGTATTTGCAACATGTTCCTAGGGAAGACAAAAGTAGTAGGTTGGATTCAGACTGATGAGGAAAGAGACCTTTAACTCTCCCCTACTCTCTTTTTTTTTTTTTTCTGTGACAACCATCGTGTTGTCTGTCAGAATAACATCCATTGGGAAGGTGTTTCTGGTTTCAGTGCAGGAAGCTACCATGCTCAGTCTTTGAGGAATGAAGTGTGTCTGACTGAGGAGAAACTTCAGCCTTGGAAACTTCAGTAGTGAAGGAGAGCTTGGGTGCATGCAAAAAACCAACAAACCAGGATGCCTACAAGATGACACAGATTTGGAATACCATACAACAAGATCTAAGTGCCAAATCTAAGTTCTCTCTTCGTGTAGAAAACTGAAAGTCAAATTCTTCATGGAATCCAAGGAGGTGTTTGGGTTTTAATGTATTATTTTTAAACCAGGGGTGGAGGTGTGTCAGAAAATGGTTAACAGCTGGTTTGTAGCACTAGCTTTCTAAGGATGGGTGGTGAGCAGCTTTCACCCATGAAGTCGTAGGGTGAAAGCTGATCACAGGAAGACAGATTAAAGGATTTGGGTTTTTTTCTTCAAACTAGACAAAAATGTAAAAAAGACAACCTCCCATGCCCCCAAAACTCACCTTCACTAACTAAAGCAACAGTCATGAGAGAAAGCTACCTGAACTTCTAACATGACAGCATGTATTTTGATGAAACGTTTACTACATATTTGTCCTTAAACCCATGCAGTTCTCAGCTACCATGAAATCATATTTATTTTATCCATTCACCCTAGTCAAGGAGGTAAGCTATGAAAGTGGTACATTAAGGCCAGAGAAAACAGTCAAATCACCCAGGCTGTCCAGCACTCCAAGCGCATCACCCAATTTCATCTATGCCCTTGGAGCAAGCCCAATAACAGCTGATAAAAGCACATCTTCCAGAAAGGCATCGAAGTCCGCAAGGAGCCAAATCTCGCAACATAAATTGGATCAGGGTGTCCTAGCTTTAATCAGATACAGTACTTCATTGCAAAAATACTTGATTTCTCCCACATAAAGAAGGTATTTCCTAAGCTCTTAATATCCGCTCTTGCTTTGAGCTTAATATACCAAATTACCTACCAGCTCTGCATACTGGTAATAGCTATCAGCTGTATTTTGCTGCTTTTCCTTCACCACCTTGTGACACTTTTCTTAATATTTGAGTAACTAGTGAATAACTGTGAATAACACTATAGGGAGACACCATCAAGCTGTGAAGCGGGTGGAGTTCAACTCTATTCAGCTCTGGTGAACTTGCACAAAGAGAGCTCACAAGCTGGTCCTGTTCCACAGCTGACCTGGAGAGAGCTGGGTGTTAGCAGAGCTCCACTGTTTTTGGTTTATCTGATCTGAGGGAGGGACATGGCGTCCAATTTACGAGGCCCCAGGGGCTGAGCTGCTGGTCTTGAGTTTCTAGGAGGAGTGGAGCCAGGTGCTCTCACTGGAAAGTTCGGGATAAATGTGGATACAAGGATTCCCAGTACAGTATGTCTTTCTGCCTGAGAAAGTCTTTCAAGGATCATCTGGACAAGTATATGTAGTATAAAATCTAAGAATTAAAGTATTTTCATCCCAATGTAGAACAGGAATTCTTTAAGAGGATTAGATGTTGTCATTTGTGTAAACAATTCTCATTTGGACTCTTCTAATACTAGGAGTAAGGGACATAT